TTGTGGATGAGGTTTCTGGTTAAGGTAACTGGATGTGGTTGTAGTTTCTATTTGTTGTTGTGGTCTCTGGATGTGGTTCTGGTCTGTAGTTGTTGTTAAGGTTGGGTGTCTGGTTTTTGGTCATGGTTTCTAGGTATGGTCGTGGTCTGTGGATGTGGTTCTGGTCTAGGTTCTGACCTTGGCAGTGAGTCCAAGCTCAATGAGGTTCTGCAGGTCCTCTTCATTCTCTGATAGAATCTCCAAAGACTTCAGCACCACCTGGACCCTGCTCAGACCGGATCCCCTCAGAGCCTGAAACCACAGAGACCAACTGGACCTGTTGTCATGGGCAACAAGACTTCAAACCTGTGATCAAAGAAGAGCTTTCTGTTTAAACTTAACCTGTACACCTGACACACCTGGGTCTCACTTCAACAACACAAACAGTCGTTACCATGGTAACGCCTGCTACCATTACCTTAGTAACAAGCTGGTCCAGTCTGCTGACTGAGACGCTGGTGAGACCCTCATGACGAAGAACGAAACCAGATCAAAAGAGTCTTCCCGGCTCACACAGTCCTCCATCTTCAGCTCCAACTAACACACACACACACACACACACACACACACACACACACACACACACCAGGGGGCGCTGCAGGCTCAAACATTATCATGATATACATGTAAAGGTTCAGACAGTTCATAAATCAGTCAGGATTATTCGACAGGTTTTCATGTTCCACTCCTCATCATCATCATCATCATCATTATTGTTATTATTGTTGTTGTTCTTCTTCTTTTTCTTCCTGTTTTTTTCTGTTGTAAATAAAGTTTACCTGAACAACCAAACGTCATGACGTTTCATCCTTGAGATGTTTGACGTGCAGAGCTCACCTGAGCTGATCAGCTGACTCTGAATCACATCCAACATCAACATTTCATTCCAAACACAAATCATCTGATCAATAAGTTTATTTACCATCGAGTCTCTCCTCTCAGTCTGCAGGGAGCAAGGAACGACGCGGGCACAGCTGCAGCTCATCGTCTCATCAGAATGCGCGTCATGCGCAGGCGCAGAGAGAGAAAGTAGTCCGATGTTGGCGGAGGGATATGAGAGTTTATGAAGAGCGTAATATAATAATGATAAAGGTTCTGTGATTGATTTGATTATTTAAATGATTCATTCATGGATAGTTAGAGTGTTGTATACATCTGTTTTATATTTTTATTTCTTTATTTGTGACCAATTATGGACAAAAAGTCCAGTTTGTTCTTAAAAAGGACAAAAGAAATAATCATATTGAAAGGATCATTGATTGATTGACTGATTGATTAATGAAATTTGGTTACTATCTCCAGATTTCATTCAAGGATTGCTTCAGTCTGACCTTTTCAGGTCATTTCAAAGTGTTCACAAGTTCAAAGTGTCGGAAAGAATGAAAAGATTTAAAACAAACTGAACTCATCTTTCATATTCATGTCAAATGAAGTCTGATCAAAGATTAAAAAATCTTCAAACATGTAGATAAAATAAAGTTCTTTAAAAGACAGATCATTAGTCTGATATTTACATGAAGGCTTCAACAAGTTAAAGGTCAGGGACTGAATTAGCTGAGGTGACACCAAGCAGACAGCTAGCAGCTCCCACCTGTCACTCAAAGAGACCACGCCCCCTCATTCTACATCACTTTAAACCTTAATATAATGTAAACAGGTGAGTTGTATAAACATTCAGCCAGAACAGTTTAAGAGAGAAATGAGCTCTAGAGACCCAAACTGTTTTTATACCAGGATGTAAACATGTTTATTTTAACATAGAACTCTATGGGGACTGACTCACTGCAGGAGACAGACTCTAGTGGACACTGGAGGAACTGCATCTGTAAAGTTGGACATTTTAACATAGAGCTCTATGAGGACTGACTCACTGCAGGAGACAGACTCTAGTGGACACTGGAGGAACTGCATCTGTAAAGTTGGACATTTTAACATAGAGCTCTATGAGGACTGACTCACTGCAGGAGACAGACTCTAGTGGACACTGGAGGAACTGCATCTGTAAAGTTAGACATTTTAACATAGAGCTCTATGAGGACTGACTCACTGCAGGAGACAGACTCTAGTGGACACTGGAGGAACTGCATCTGTAAAGTTAGACATTTTAACATGGAGCTCTATGAGGACTGTCTCACTGCAGGAGACAGACTCTAGTGGACACTGGAGGAACTGCATCTGTAAAGTTAGACATTTTAACATGGAGCTCTATGAGGACTGTCTCACTGCAGGAGACAGACTCTAGTGGACACTGGAGGAACTGCATCTGTAAAGTTAGACATTTTAACATGGAGCTCTATGAGGACTGACTCACTGCAGGAGACAGACTCTAGTGGACACTGGAGGAACTGCAGCAGTAAAGTTAGACATTTTAACATGGAGCTCTATGAGGACTGTCTCACTGCAGGAGACAGACAGGTGAACTGGTCTTTAGGCAGAAGTGGACTCGTTCTGTGATTGATGACTAATGAGTTTGTTTGTTTGAGGAGAAACACTGAAGTGTTTACACAACACACACACACACACACACACACACACACACACACACACACACACACCACACACACACACACACACACACACACGTTAGATTCTGAGTTTATATTTTAAAATGTTGTCTTTTTATTTTTATATTTTTTTACTCTTTTGTTGTCACAAACGATTTTTAATGTGTCGTCCTTAATGACAACCTTGGTCTCTCCACGTCGTGCTGATCCCCCCCTCCCCCCTCCCCCTCACTGTGGGAGCTCTCTCTCTCTCACCTGTTTGTCACACACTACCTGACGGTGAGCGAAGCTGCACGTGCTGCCGACGCTCTGAACACTTTAAAGTTTTTTCACTTTGAAACTTTTTATTCACCTTTATCTCACCTGAGACCGAACAGGAACGATCCGCATCAGAACCCTCAAGAGAGGACTGATCAGGACCGGGACCAGGTTAGGACCGTGAGCAGGATGTCCCGTGCGGAGGAGCGCGAGGAGGCGGACTGTGTGTGTTCAGTCGGGATGAAGTTCACGTGGGACATCAACGACCCCAAACTCCCGCAGGTAACTACCTGAACATCATGATTATTATTATTATTATTATTTATAATGAGGATTATTCTGAGGATTTGGTCTGACGCTGTAGTCCAGGTCCACGCAGGTCCACGGACCCCCTTGTTGTTCAGTCTTAAATCTGATCCTCTTCAGTGGTTTATGTTCAATTCATAAACAGTAGAAATGAATCAAGTTTCAGTTGATTTGAAGAACAGACTCTTTGGATTCATTTGAATGTGTAGATCTGATGTTAGACTGCAGAGAGTCTCATCACGTCCAGGATACTTGATTTTAAATTGTTATTTTTATTTTGAAAGGTCAGACTAGTCAAATGTTTTACTTTAAAACAACTTCTGGGAACCCCAGCTGGGTCTGTAGACAGTTCAATGTTTCAGTGTGTAAAAATACAAGAAACGCTGATTTTGATTTAAAAAAGTTTAGTTTAGTTTAAGTTTTAGTTTATTTGTTTATTGTTTCGTGGACAGTCCCCTTTAATTTACTGTACAGTAAAAGAAGCAGCTTTAGCCTTTACGGCTAATTTCCAGCTGTAGTCCCCGGCCAGTTGTCAGTAGGCAACCTAAAATGCAACTGTTAAGATTTAAAATACAATAAAATACATTACATTTGTAACTACAACAGGCCTAAGCAAAAGGAAAATAGACATACAACATATCACACACAATCAAAGCAGTTCATGCAATAAAGACAATACTGGGGCGACAACGGAAAAGAATAATCATAGAGGCCACATTGAAAGCACATACAAGACATAACATGGAAAAAAAAGAACAGCAGAGTCAGAGTCCTGGTGTTCACTTGTTCACTTGTGACTGTGTAAAAATAAAAACGTTACAACAGTGTGTGCAGACGCAGCTCAACCATTTTAGAATGAAAACTCAAAGAGAGGCTGTGGACGACGCATCACTAGAAACAGAAAAGCAGAATAGATGGTCATACCAAAGATCTGTTTCTCTGAGGCAGAGCTCATGTTGATTCAGATGAAGCACCATGAACGTGCAGCGGAGGTCGTTCACTGAGCTCCATCAGGTCTTTCAACGTCTTCTTAAAGAACAGACATGCTGACGTGATGTCTTTTTAAATGGGCGAGCTGTGAATATACATATTTGTATATTTATTTAATTTAAATGATCAATCTACACACACTTATTTATGTAAATACAGTAATTGACAGTTAATTGACTCATCTGTCACATAACTGCATTTTACTTATCATGTTACTTCAGCATCTTTTGCACTATTCACCACTGCACTGTTTCATATTTAGTCATGTAAATATTAGTCTTTTCTTATTCTGTTTATTGTTGATATTTAATGTTGTACCTGAACATAAGAGAGCACAGTTCACTGAAGTTACATTCTTTGTGTGTGTGTAAGCATACCTGGACAATAAATCTGATTCTGATAAACTCTTGTTCTAGTTGTGCACTAGTTCAGTTGTGAATGTGTGAAGGCAATAAGAAGGCAAAAGTTCCCTGGTGGGACGTCAGACTAAAATAAAATATTATGAACCAAGAGTAAAGATTTAGTCCAATGAGAAGAGCTCAGACCAACACCAAACAGTTATTGAAACATGTGACCCATTCATCCTTTGATTCTGGCAGTTTTCTAAATCGTTTATGAAATTAAAAACTGGAGAAGGATTCAGCGTATCAGAGCCAACAGAAGAGTCAAAGAGGACTCTGATTGGTGCAGGCTCTTCAGACTCCTCTGATGACACGTCACAAAGGTCGCTTACTGTCTTCATTTGAAATCTGACATACAAACTTCAATCAGGTGAATTCACTTCTTCACTCATTCACTCCCTGTCTCCACAATGCAGAATATTCCAGTGTTCTTGGGGGAGTGGCTTAAAGCTTGATGGTTCATTACCTCCACCCTTTGTTCCAGAGTGACCAATCACAGCCTTCGCTTTATTTGAAATTGTCTACTCTATTTCCGCTGCTGACGAAACTCGATTAATATGAGTCTGTTTTTTCAATGACATCACTTTCACATTGTCCAAACATGTAAGGTGTACTTCAGGAGACCATGTTCACAGAGGGAATACCAAGACTTACCAAAGACCTGCCGACCCCCTGACTCTAAAAGCGCATTTTTAAATTCATTAAATAAATTAGATTATCATCTGTGAACTACACACACACCTGGATCCATCCCTCTGTTCCCATGGTGACAGGAGGCTGTGATTTGGTTGGAGGCTGTGGTTTGGTCGGAGGCTTTGGTTTGGTCGGAGGCTTTGGTCTGGTCGGAGGCTTTGGTCTGATCGGAGGCTTTGGTTTGGTCGGAGGCTGTGGTCTGATCGGAGGCTTTGGTTTGGTCGGAGGCTTTGGTTTGGTCGGAGGCTGTGGTCTGATCGGAGGCTTTGGTTTGGTTGGAGGCTTTGGTTTGGTCGGAGGCTTTGGTTTGGTCGGAGGCTGTGGTCTGATCGGAGGCTTTGGTCTGATCGGAGGCTTTGGTCTGGTTGGAGGCTTTGGTTTGGTTGGAGGCTTTGGTCTGATCGGAGGCTTTGGTCTGGTTGGAGGCTGTGGTCTGATCGGAGGCTTTGGTCTGGTCGGAGGCTTTGGTCTGGTCGGAGGCTTTGGTTTGGTCGGAGGCTTTGGTTTGGTCGGAGGCTTTGGTCTGGTTGGAGGCTTTGGTCTGATCGGAGGCTTTGGTCTGATCGGAGGCTTTGGTCTGGTTGGAGGCTTTGGTCTGGTCGGAGGCTTTGGTCTGATCGGAGGCTGTGGTCTGGTCGGAGGCTTTGGTCTGGTCGGAGGCTTTGGTCTGGTTGGAGGCTTTGGTTTGGTCGGAGGCTTTGGTTTGGTCGGAGGCTTTGGTCTGGTTGGAGGCTTTGGTTTGGTCGGAGGCTTTGATCTGGTCGGAGGCTTTGGTTTGGTCGGAGGCTTTGGTCTGGTTGGAGGCTTTGATCTGGTCGGAGGCTTTGGTCTGGTTGGAGGCTTGGTTTGGTTGGAGGCTTTGGTTTGGTCTGAGGTTTTGGTTTGGTTGGAGGCTTTGATCTGGTCGGAGGCTTTGGTTTGGTTGGAGGCTTTGGTTTGGTTGGAGGCTTGGTTTGGTCGGAGGCTTTGGTCTGGTCGGAGGCTTTGGTTTGGTTGGAGGCTTGGTCTGGTTGGAGGCTTTGATCTGGTCGGAGGCTTTGGTTTGGTTGGAGGCTTTGGTTTGGTTGAGGCTTGGTTTGGTCGGAGGCTTTGGTCTGGTCGGAGGCTTTGGTTTGGTTGGAGGCTTTGGTTTGGTCGAAGGTTTTGGTTTGGTCGAAGGTTTTGGTTTGGTCGGAGGCTTTGGTTTGGTTGGAGGCTTTGATCTGGTCGGAGGCTTTGGTTTGGTTGGAGGCTTTGGTTTGGTTGGAGGCTTTGATCTGGTCGGAGGCTTTGGTTTGGTTGGAGGCTTTGGTTTGGTTGGAGGCTTTGATCTGGTCGGAGGCTTTGGTTTGGTTGGAGGCTTTGGTTTGGTTGGAGGCTTGGTTTGGTTGGAGGCTTTGGTCTGGTTGGAGGCTTTGGTTTGGTTGGAGGCTTGGTTTGGTTGGAGGCTTTGATCTGGTCGGAGGCTTTGGTTTGGTTGGAGGCTTTGATCTGGTCGGAGGCTTTGGTTTGGTTGGAGGCTTTGGTTTGGTTGGAGGCTTGGTTTGGTTGGAGGCTTTGATCTGGTCGGAGGCTTTGGTTTGGTTGGAGGCTTGGTTTGGTTGGAGGCTTTGATCTGGTCGGAGGCTTTGGTTTGGTTGGAGGCTTTGGTTTGGTTTTGAAATATTTGATGAACATCATGAGAATATTTCTATTTCCTGCTGTTAGAGGAAACACAGACAAAATAAAAGCCCTTTTAAAATGATAATAATGTCCTTTGTTTATGAGTTTGGTGCAGAAAAACGAGAGATTCAGGTTTGATTGTTGAGTCGATATCCAAACCTCCTCCTCATGTTTCTGTCATTTGTCAGATCTTGTTTTATTTTGGAATGTAAATTAAGTTTAACAAAATAAAAGCACCAAAGCTCTGAACCTGTTGAATTTATCTGTCGTCTGTAAATGAAAGGAGTGTGTCAGTGTGTGTGTGTGTGTGTGTGTGTGTGTGTGTGTGTGTGTGTGTGTGTGTCTGTGTGTGTGTGTGTGTCTGTGTGTGTGTGTGTGTGTGTGTGTGTGTGTGTGTGTGTGTGTGTGTGTGTGTGTGTGTGTGTGTGTGTGTCTCTGTGTGTCTGTGTGTGTGCGTGTGTGTCTGTGTGTGTGTGTGTGTGTGTGTGTGTGTGTGTGTCTCTGTGTGTGTGTGTGTGTGTGTCTCTGTGTGTCTGTGTGTGTGCGTCTCTGTGTGCGTCTCTGTGTCTCTGTGTGTGTGCGTGTGTATCTGTGTGTCTGCGTGTGTGTGTGTGTGTGTGTGTGTGCGTGTGTGTGTGTGTGTGTGTGTGTGTGTGTGTGTGTGTGTGTGTGTGTGTGTGTGTGTGTGTGTGTGTGTGTGTGTGTGTGTGTGTGCTGACTCAGCTCTCCTCTGTTTTGGTACAAACAGTAAGAACTGGTTTGTATTTATGTTTTCACTCAAACAGCTGATTGATGTCTGATTGACTCGTCCTGATCTGAACGAACAACATGACCATCAGCTGATTTCTGGGCCTGATTCTCCCTCTGAATGTTTTAGAACGATGACCTCGTCAGACGTTCCTGCGCTGTGAGGAGTGTTAACAGTGATCTGATCTGCTTAGAGGAACATCGCCCTGATGTCAGAGAAAATATCTGTCATCATTGACCAATCACAGCTCTTCACCTGTCACACAGCCTCATCACTGACCAATCACAGCTCTTCACCTGTCACACAGCCTCATCACTGACCAATCACAGCTCTTCACCTGTCACACAGCCTCATCACTGACCAATCACAGCTCTTCACCTGTCACACAGCCTCATCACTGACCAATCACAGCTCTTCACCTGTCAGCCTCATGACTGACCAATCACAGCTCTTCACCTGTCAGCCTCATCACTGACCAATCACAGCTCTTCACCTGTCAGCCTCATGACTGACCAATCACAGCTCTTCACCTGTCAGCCTCATGACTGACCAATCACAGCTCTTCACCTGTCACACAAAAGCGCCTACCTTCTCTGGTCCAAACAAATCCAGAGCATTCAGGAGCAGAATCTAAAGTTAGAAGGAGGACATACTGGCTGCTGCATTGTTGTCAGAGAAGCCAGCACTTCAACATAGCATGTTTCCTTAATGATCAGAGAGTAAGATACCTTTATCATTTCAGTACCTACACATCTCACTCAGTGGACCTTTAATGATCAACATGATCAAAAAGTACTGAAGCTTTAAAAAACCTTTATTTTTTAAGACAGGCGTTTAAGAGAAGAATGCGTCCAACAAAAATTGCAGGTAAACTCGATCACAATGTTTCAATTGCTCAGAAACTTTGGCATGCAGTCGTTCACTGGATGACATCATCACTGAACAGTTCAGGATGAAAATCTGTAAAACCTGACTAACTTTGAAATGTATTAACATGCAGCTCTGTGTGTGTCTGTGTGTGTGTGTGTGTGTTCAGGACACCAAGCAGTGTGACTCGTTCCAGGAGTGGACAGACGGTTACGTTCGATTTATTTACAGCGGTGAGAAACATGACACTCCATCAAGCTAATGGCTGCATTGTAGCTAGTTTCAGCTAATCGATGATTCATTTATAGCTTTTAGATCAGATTGTATTTAGACACGTAAACATATATTTTTACGTACAGGTGACGATAAGAACGCTCAGAGACATCTTTCGGGTTGGGCGATGAGAAATACAAACAACCACAACTGTCAGATCCTGAAGAAGTCGTGTTTAGGCGTGGTGGTCTGTTCTCGAGGCTGCACGCTGCCGGACGGCTCCAGACTTCAGCTCCGCCCCGCCATCTGTGACAAGGCGCGGCAGAAACAGCAGAGTAAGAACATCAGAAGATGAATGTGAATGTTACACCTGGTTCCATGGGTACCTGACAGACTCTGTGTTTCAGAGAAGCTGTGCCCGAGCTGCAACGCCCCTCTCGAGCTGCTGCCATGTCGAGGTCACAGCGGTTACCCCGTCACCAACTTCTGGAGAATCGACGGGAAAGCAATCTTCTTTCAGGTGAGCAACTCCCCTGCAGTGACCTGGTTTCAGAATAATGGGATCAAATAGTTCTTAATGTAAAATGATATGACGCCAACCACAGTCTGAAGTGCAACTCAGTTTGGAGTTCAGAGGTCAAACCAGTCAGAGACCTGGAGGACCAGAGAAAACAAATCACAGACTACAGATCAAAGTGTTGATTTATAATCTCAAATCCATCACATCTTATTCTGAAAGAGCATTAACATGAAGATCAGCAAACATACAAATGCTAACATACTAACTGGGCTGGACATGATAGCATCCTAAACAGGCTAACAATCCAAACTGGCTAACATTCCAAACTGGCTAACATCCTAAACTGGCTAACATCCTAAACAGGCTAACAATCCAAACTGGCTAACATCCTAAACTGGCTAACATCCTAAACAGGCTAACAATCCAAACTGGCTAACATCCTAAACTGGCAAACATCCCAAACTGGCTAACATCCTAAACTGGCTAACATCCTAAACAGGCTAACAATCCAAACTGGCTAACATCCTAAACTGGCAAACATCCCAAACTGGCTAACATCCTAAACTGGCTAACATCCTAAACTGGCTAACATCCTAAACAGGCTAACAATCCAAACTGGCAAACATCCTAAACTGGCTAACATCCTAAACAGGCTAACATCCTAAACAGGCTAACATCCCAAACAGGCTAACATCCTAAACAGGCTAACATCCCAAACTGGCTAACATTCCAAACAGGCTAACATGCCAAACTGGCTAACATCCCAAACAGGCTAAAATTCCAAACAGGCTAATATCCTAAACTGGCTAACATCCTAAACTGGCTAACATCCCAAACAGGCTAACATTCCAAACAGGCTAACATCCTAAACTGGCTAACATCCCAAACAGGCTAACATCCCAAACTGGCTAACATTCCAAACAGGCTAACATTCCAAACAGGCTAACATCCCAAACTGGCTAACATCCCAAACAGGCTAACATTCCAAATTGGCTAACATGCCAAACTGGCTAACATCCTAAACTGGCTAACATCCTAAACAGGCTAACATTCTAAACTGGCTAACATCCTAAACTGGCTAAAATCCCAAACAGGCTAACATTCTAAACTGGCTAACATCCTAAACTGGCTAACATCCCAAACTGGCTAACATTCCAAACAGGCTAACATTCTAAACTGGCTAACATCCTAAACTGGCTAAAATCCCAAACAGGCTAACATTCTAAACTGGCTAACATCCCAAACTGGCTAAAATCCCAAACTGGCTAACATCCCAAACTGGCTAACATTCTAAACAGGCTAACATTCCAAACTGGCTAACATTCCAAACTGGCTAACATCCTAAACTGGCAAACATTCCAAACTGGCTAACATCCTAAACTGGCTAACATCCTAAACTGGCTAAAATCCCAAACAGGCTAACATTCTAAACTGGCTAACATCCTAAACTGGCTAACATCCTAAACTGGCAAACATTCCAAACTGGCTAACATCCTAAACTGGCTAAAATCCCAAACAGGCTAACATTCTAAACTGGCTAACATCCTAAACTGGCTAACATCCTAAACTGGCAAACATTCCAAACTGGCTAACATCCTAAACTGGCTAAAATCCCAAACAGGCTAACATTCTAAACTGGCTAACATCCCAAACTGGCTAACATCCTAAACTGGCTAACATCCCAAACAGGCTAACATCCTAAACTGGCTAACATCCTAAACTGGCTAACATCCTAAACTGGCTAACATTCCAAACAGGCTAACATTCCAAACTGGCTAACATCCTAAACTGGCTAACATCCTAAACTGGCAAACATCCCAAACTGGCTAACATCCTAAACTGGCTAACATCCCAAACAGGCTAACATCCCAAACAGGCTAACATTCCAAACTGGCTAACATTCCAAACAGGCTAACATCCCAAACTGGCTAACATCCTAAACTGGCAAACATCCCAAACTGGCTAACATCCCAAACTGGCTAACATCCCAAACTGGCTAACATCCCAAACAGGCTAACATTCCAAATTGGCTAACATTCCAAACTGGCTAACATCCTAAACTGGCTAACATCCCAAACTGGCTAACATCCTAAACTGGCTAACATCCTAAACAGGCTAACATTCTAAACTGGCTAACATCCTAAACTGGCTAAAATCCCAAACAGGCTAACATTCTAAACTGGCTAACATCCTAAACTGGCTAAAATCCCAAACTGGCTAACATCCCAAACTGGCTAAAATCCCAAACTGGCTAACATCCCAAACTGGCTAACATTCTAAACTGGCTAACATCCTAAACTGGCTAACATCCCAAACAGGCTAACATCCCAAACTGGCTAACATTCCAAACAGGCTAACATCCCAAACTGGCTAACATCCTAAACTGGCAAACATTCCAAACTGGCTAACATCCTAAACTGGCTAACATTCTAAACTGGCTAACATCCTAAACTGGCTAACATCCCAAACAGGCTAACATTCCAAACTGGCTAACATTCTAAACAGGCTAACATCCCAAACTGGCTAACATCCTAAACTGGCAAACATTCCAAACTGGCTAACATCCTAAACTGGCTAACATCCCAAACAGGCTAACATTCCAAACTGGCTAACATCCTAAACTGGCTAACATCCTAAACTGGCTAACATTCCAAACTGGCTAACATTCCAAACAGGCTAACATTCTAAACTGGCTAACATCCCAAACTGGCTAACATCCCAAACTGGCTAACATCCTAAACTGGCTAACATCCTAAACTGGCTAAAATCCTAAACAGGCTAACATTCTAAACTGGCTAACATCTGGCTAAACTGGCTAAAATCCCAAACTGGCTAACATCCCAAACTGGCTAACATCCCAAAAGGCTAACATCCCAAACAGGCTAACATCCAAACGGCTAACATTCCAAACAGGCTAACATTCCAAACAGGCTAACATTCTAAACTGGCTAACATCCTAAACTGGCTAAAATCCCAAACTGGCTAACATCCCAAACTGGCTAACATCCCAAACAGGCTAGCATCCTGAAAAGACTAGAATCCTAAATAAGCTATCATCGTAAACTTGCTAACATCCTTAATGGGTTAAAATTCTAAACAGTCTAATTTCCATGTGTTGTGTACCCGTGTTTGTGCTCATGCATGAACTGTACCGTGCTGAAGAATACCTCTTCAAATCGGGCCAGGACCAAGGAAGTGTAGGGTCAGGTGTGCTTGGACACAGTGCGGATCACCTAGTGTGCATGCACCCTTAGATCCAGGTCTTAACTTCATCCCAGGAGCCTAAACAAGACTAAACCAGATCCTGAAAATAGACAATGGACAGTCTGAACAGGTCTAATCTGGTTCATGTCATGATTCAGACCCTGAAATAGTCAAACCGGTTTAAACCAGATGATCAGGGTCAAAGATAGTCTGATCCTGTAGCTGAATCTAGATGATCCAGATTCTGACCTACCTGTGGTCCCTCAGGCTAAAGGAGTCCACGACCATCCCCGCCCTGAGTCCAAGTCTGAGACTGAAGCCAGAAGAAGTACAGTAAAGAGACGAGTCAGCTCGCCGCCGTTTACGCCCAAACGCCGCCTCCTCGAACCTCAGGTCAGTGACATCACTTCACTACAGTTTCTGTTGTTTATGTTTCTGTTCTTTACTGTTTGTTTATTTGTTTACCTGCTGTGTACTGTTTTAGGCTCTAGGCCCGCCCTCCTCTCCTGTGTTGACCCATCAGAGAGAATCTCCTTCATTGAGCCAAACTTCACCCAGCATTACCCATCATTCCAGAGCCCAGAGCCATACTACAACCACAATGCACTGGGAGAGGCCCCACCCACACTCCAGAAACCAGCCAATCCACGGCTATATATGGGCCGACCCAGTTATGAGTTCCAGGGATACCTGACCTCACCTTCATATCCCATGACCTCTGACTTCTGTGACCCCAGGTCCGTCTCACATGTAAACCAAACCAGATCCTGAACCAAATCCTGACAGTTTAAACCAGATTATGACAGTTAACCCAGATTTGAACACAGTTTTTCATGAAATATTGATTTACTGCACATGTTAAAACTACTGCACAGTTGTCCATCCTCCTCCTCTAACTCCTCTTCAGTTCTATCTCCTCCTCCTCCTTCGAGCCCCAGTCCAAGACTGCTTCAGGCTGAAGGAACTGCTGAAAGACCTCCGCCCCCTATGAGACAACCACCATTACTACAGCACA